TACTGCACAGACTTCCTAACTGAGCTCTTTTCTTTAGAATCATCTCTGCTCCCTAAATCATGTTCCACAATGCAATGAGAGTGAGTGCTCCAAAAAGCAAATCATGCTGTTCCTCTGCTTAAAACTCACCAGTAATGGGGCCGGCCCCGTGGCATAGTGGTTAAGTTTGTGCGCTCCGCTTTGGTGGCCTGGGGTTCACAGGTTCGGATCCCAGGCGCAGACCTACACACCACTTATCAAGCCATGCTGTGGCAGGCGTCCCACATATAAAATAGAGGGAGATGGGCACAGATGTTAGCCCAGGGCCAGTCTTCCTCAGCAAAAAGAGGAGGATTGGCAACAGATGTTGTTAGCTCAGGGCTAATCTTCCTCACGAAAAAAATCAAAACTCACCAGTAGTTCCTATTGCAGGACAATTAAGTCCAACTCCTTAATAAGGCTTTTATGACTCTTAAAGAAGAGGCCCTGCTTCCATCTGTAGTCTGTAGCCTCAAATCTCATCACTTCCTTCACTTCCTTAGCATATTGTGCTATTCTTTGCCTCCAGGCCGTGATGCATACAAATCCTTTTTTCAGGTACTTGCTAAGTCTCTCTGTTGGTTGACTAGCTTACACACATGTTTGGTGTGCAATGAAAATAAAAGAGGAAACAGATTTTGAGGAAATGTTACACTAGACAAAGCAGATTGAAAAAAAAGGATAGTTTGTTTTTTCTGTACCAGCCTCTCATTTCTATATATCTCTTCATCTGTGTTCCTACTGTCCTCAGACAATTTGAACTGTCTCTTACTTTTCCTGTTCTTAGCGAGGCAGTCTTTAAAAAATAACCTATGATTAGTTATATATCCCTCAGGGGGAATACACTGAGTTAAATATTATGGAGTGTTTATTATATACTAGGCTTTGTTCCAGGCATAGGGAAATTATCAATGAGCAAGACAGGAATGATGCCAGTTCTCAATGAGCCCACATCCTAGTGAAGGCGACAGAAAAGGAGCAATTAAATGATTAAATAAGATCATTTCAGATAGAAATGGTTTGTGGGAAGAAAATAAAATAGGACTATGTGATAGGGTGATTGCTGGGAAGGAGGTGTCTAGGTTACGTTGTGTGGTTTCAAGGGTTTCTTTGAAGCTAAGGCCTCCATGAGGAAGTAGCCCTGGCCCTAGAAGAATAGAGGAAAGCAGTCCGGGTGGAGGGGACGGCAGGTGCAAAGGCCACGAGGTAAACATTGGCTTGGTGTGTTCAAGGAGGAAGAAAGGCCAGAAAAGCTGGAGCAGAGCTCCAGAGGAGGAGTGGTCAGTAGACGAGGTCTGAGGGCTCAGCAAGCAATGGGCTATTCAGGGCCTTGCAGTCCTGGTAAGGGGTGCTTATTTTATTCCTCATGCAAGTGGAAGCCAGTAGAAGGGTTTAGGTGCAGAAATGATGTGGTCTCATTTAGAATTGTACAAGTAGGTTCTGGCTTCAATGTGGAGAAAAGATCGAGGAAGAGCAGAAATGGACACAAAGATAAGAGTTAGGGACCGTGACATTCATCTCACATTAAGGATGTCAGTTCAATTCAGTGAAACACTGAAACAGGATGGCATTGAAAGCAACATGTTACCATCTTGTCATATCTTTCTTTTAAGATTTAACTTCATTGGGACATAAAAGCGATTTCTGCACTTAAAGGAATTTCAGAATTTGTGTAGGAGGTTTTATTGGGAAACGAAGAAGCTGAATCTACGAATGTGTTAAATGGCAGGCGATCGGTTTAGTGGAGAGGAAAATAGTGGAAAAGGGGATCTACATGTGAAATAAGTTTTAATCATAAAGAACATTTAGTGGGGAGCAGGAACCGAAGTGGCTTCCCTGACATCACCCCCATAGGATTCTAGAAAGTACTGGATTTGGAATCAGAAGAACTGGGTTGAAATCCTAGGTTCCTCACTTTGACTAAGAGGTTTGCCTTCTCTGAGGTCTGTGTTTGCTCATCTATTAAACAGGACAGTTCTACCTGGTGATTGGTAAGCTTTCGTCCAGATGTAAAAATAATCAATTTATGGCTCATTAGTTATACCGATATAATTCCTGACATTCAGATCTCTTCAGAGAAACTTTATAGATGATATTTTCATAGAATAATAGAGCTGAAAATCTTGTTCCTTATCATGTAAACATTTACTTATATACTCATATCTGCTCATTTTAGAGGTGAGAAAGCTGAAACCTAGAAGGAGAAATGAACCAGCTAAGGGTTTTTTATCCCATTAGTGTGAGATGCATGCTGCAACCCAGGTCAAATGACTCCTGATTAAGTGCTCTCTCCATTAATCACACCTGACTTCTTAGAAGTCCAGGGAACTTCTGCCCAGAGGATAATTACAATATATGTTATACTCTTTCTTTGTTTCTTCTACATAGAAGTACCTATAAATTGGTTAGTTTGGAAAACTGATGAACTCTTCTACCATTCCTTACAAAATAGTAGAATTTTTTCTTACAAATAATGTATAAAAGTGTATTTCCCAGGACCGTACTGAGTAGGGTGATTGGGCCAATGGCTTGTGTAAGATGTGGACCGTTCAATAGAGCTTTCAATTCAAGGACATCCAAAGGCCTTTATTCTGTTCTGGTGCATGGAGTAGAGCAGATTAAGAGAAAGAAATTCTTTCTATTTGTTACATTGATTTAAATATAATTGGATGAGAGCATATCTTTTATGAAGTAATTTTTATAAAAAATGGAAATTAGACAACTTCAAAAGCAGGAGTGAGCAGCTAGCCAAACCCAATGAAGATCAGTTATTTAAAAATCTATATATCGCCTTCTTTAAAACTTTGACTTTTGTCCAGACACATTATCAGCAGCCTCTTTGATCCACTATAATCTCCAAATGAGGCCTGAAGGATGCATAAATCTTTATTCCGCTGCTAAAGGATGCTAAAGATCCCTGAGAAATCTTTTTGATGACAGAAATGAGTCAAGACAGACAGAGCTGCACATTCTTAAGTGAATAAATAAAGCTTTTAAAATACTTTCTCTTTCAAATAATCAGAAGCACAAGTCAACACCGCAGACAGGATTTCAAAGAAGTAGAAACAAGGGTGGAGCTAAATATTAGACTAAGCTTAAAACAAAAATAAACAAGCCTAATTGAGGAGCCATGTGGCCAGTACTGGAAGAGTGGAAAACCACATCCCACAATCTCTCAGTGCAGGACAGGATTCCCACTCCTTCCTAAAAGCTTTCTTGCCTTTTCACTTGCATCTCATCAGAGATGGGTTTTAATCAATAGAGAGCCTTGGAAACCTACAGCTGGAATTTCTCTTTGAGCTTTATAAGGAAAAATAATGGGGAAATTACAAAGATGCCTTGGAAGTGGGAGATACAACAAGCAAAGGAAAAACTAACCCTCAAATCAAATTCTTCAGAAATACATTGTTCATTTAGAGTTGGTCAGGTTGAGTTAAAGAGAAAGATTGTTTTTATTTAACATGTAGGGGAAAAATGGGTATGTGGCGTGACTATCAAATTTCTTTCTCCCAATTCTTGATGAACCTACTAACGTTTGTACTCTGTAAATTTCTCAAACTTTTTGTGTTTACAACACACTCTCAGGTATTAGGGTTGCTTTGGTGCACGTTAAAAATACAAAAACAAACAAATACCTCAGATAGAGATGTCTGAACTAAACAGGTTCACAGTAATTGTTATATATGTCCACTTGAGGATACAATGCCTCACAGTTCTGGGAAAACAACCATGGTTATCACACTGTTGGGTTTGTTGCCATTCTGCACTACCCTTCTAGAAAGAAGTGTTTCCTACTCTGACTCTACTCTTTTATATCCTCATGAGATAAATGTCTTGCCTGATCTAGCAAACACTCAATCTACTTATGGCATAAATTTACCTTTGTGCCTGCCTCTCACCCAGTACCTGCCATACATTTTCAGTGTTATACTCTATCTTGCAACCTGCTATTGGGTTCAATATTCCATCTGACAACCATTGCCATTGACATAAATGACCCTGTGGCAAAAAGAAAATATCCAAATTGATTAAAATTTGGTAATGGCTGTCAGGGATTTCTTTCTGAGTGTTAAGGCACACTAGTTGAGATTACTGCTCTGAACCTGTTTAAGCAACTCAGTGTCCACCTTATATGTGCCTGAAAGAGGAGTGATGGCTTCTCTTATAAATACCCTACTCTTATGATCTTGTCTACTCCAGCTCATGTGAAATTCTGAAATTGAGATGACTTTTAACAACTCCACCTGAAATCTTATTGGTCTCATTTGGGGGCTTTGTCCACTGTCTTCTGTGAGGAAAAGGTCAACTTATGACTGAGGCAGGTCTTTAGAGGGAAGATTGTAATGAGTGAACAGGTGCTTACATCATATTTAGAAAACATTTCAACACTATTAAGTTAATTGCAAAAATCATTATTTTCTTCTACTTGTTCTGCAATACGCAGTTGTACCCCCAGAATATAAAGAACGAGTATGAATGTTTGTAATGTTTGTGTGTGTGTTGGTGTAGGTGTGTGTGTTAATCCTGGAAAGTTTAGCATATATTTATTAAATGAATTATTATTTTAATTTTTGAAATATTGTTAACTCATGCCATGCTTCAATTTTGGCTGAAACTGAATCATAAAACTTGATCCTGCATAAAGGAGTTATAATTGATTGTTACAGAAGGAAATGGTGGGAGTGAGGGTATGGATGAGATCAAAATAACATTTATGTACATTTTCTTATGCATGTGGCAAGTCTCGTATAGCTTCATAACCCTCTTTGCATCTTTTCTAATCCTGATCATCTTGCATGGTATCCCACGTAGCTCCAAGAGGTTGAATATAAAAACCCAACATGCCACTCCATCCGCATCAGTTCCACAATTGCTAGAGCCTACCTCTGCCTTCTTTGTGCTCCTTCACTTAGAGTAAGAATCTGTTCTCTGGAATGTGTATCCCTCTGGTGACTTAAGTCTCCCTTTTTTCTGTTTTCAAGGATGGGAGGAACAGTTTTATTGGACACCAACTGGGCGGGGTAGTGGAAGTGCCAAACAGCAGGGACCAGCGGGTCAAGTCAGCCAGAGCCATTCAAATCACCTACTACCTCCAGACCTACGGCTCTGCCACCCAGGACCTCATAGGGGAGAAGTGGGAGAATGAGTTCTGTAAGCTTATGAAGAAGCTCCAGGAGGAGCACCAGGACCTCCAGCTCTACTCTTTAGCATCCTTTAGCCTCTGGAGAGACTTTCATAAGACCAGCATCCTGGCCAGGAGCAAGGTCCTGGTGAGCCTCGTGCTGATCCTGACCACAGCCACCCTCTCCAGCTCCATGAAGGACTGTTTGCGCAGCAAGCCCTTCCTGGGCCTCCTGGGGGTGCTCACGGTGTGCATCTCCATAGCCACTGCAGCAGGGATCTTCTTCATCACGGATGGAAAGTACAACTCCACCCTGCTGGGAATCCCGTTCTTTGCCATGGGTAACTATCCATCCTTGTGGTAATCGGATTCTTACCGGTTTGGGGCAAGGTAGTACATTTCTTGAATTCTCAGGTGGAAATATGTTTTAATTTTGCATTGGTGTGTCTGTGTGATTATGTAAAATTCTACTTGGGGTGCTGTCTGTTTCACCTTATTGGGCCTTTCAGGAAATTATAGGTTGACCCAGCCACTTTCCCATTTATGTCGGGGAATTGAATGCTGTCAAACATTTTAAATTACACAATATTGGAATTCTCTACTCAGCTTCTTCAAAAATTATAGGTTGGGGATTGTGGGGTACAGAGTTAAGGAGATCCAAAACTTACTTCAAACAAAATTTTGTCATTCATATTCATGAGCATCCTCAAGTTGATGGTGGTGAAGAGTGAATATAATGGGCTGAAAATTCTAAGAACCACTGATATGTTCTAATTCAAGAACTTCTTCATTAAACTTTGCTTAATTCAATTCAAAGTTTTTGCAGAAAATGTACTCCATTTCCCCACCTCTATATAAACTAAAGCCTTCCAGCTGC